TTTCAAGATACAAAATTTAAAAATGTGAATTTTAGGAATGCGAAGCTTCAAAATGCAAATTTCAAAGGTTCATCTTTCCAAGATGCACGTTTTGAAAATACGGACCTCTCATTTGCGGATCTTCAGAATACGAATATTCAAATAATGAATTTTGAGAATGCGAATCTTCAAAATGCAAACCTAAGAAGTTCATCTTTTCAAGATGCATATTTTAAAGGCGCAGATCTCTCATTTACAGATCTTCAGAATACGATTCTTTAAGATGTGAATTTTAGGAATGCGAAGCTTCGAAATGCAAATCTCCAAAATGCACAAATTAAAGACGCAGATTTCACACTTGCAGATCTTCAGAATACGATTCTCGTAGATATAAATTTCCATGAATTATGTATCAAAAATGTAAATCTCGAAAGTGCAGGCGTTGTAAATCTCCAAAATGTGAACGTATGTAGTGTTGATTATTATTATCAAAATGGAATAGGAGTCGAAAAGGATGAATGTAAGGCATTTAGTTATTATCAAAAATCAGCTGATTTGGGCGATGATAGCGGAATGTGCAATGTTGGTTATTGTTATCAAAATGGAATTGGAGTCGAAAAAGATGAACAAAAGGCGTTCTTTTATTATCAGAAATGGGCAATGGCAGAGGGACATGCAGTATTGGTCATTGTTATCGCTATGGAATTGGAGTCGAAAAGGATGAACCCAAGGCATTTATTTACTATCAAAAATCTGCCGATATGGGCGATGCTTGTGGAATATGTAATGTTGGTTATTGTTATCAAAACGGAATTGGAGTTGTAAAGGATGAACAAAAGGCGTTCTTTTATTATCAAAAATCTGCCGATATGGGATATTCTAATGGAATGTATCAAGTTGGCTATTGTTATCGAAATGGCAGCGGAGCATCTCAAGATTTTGAGAAAGCTGCTGAGTGGTTACAAAAGGCAAGAGTTAATAAACGTAGTTATAAAACAAAACTTTATGTCGAAGATTTTTTGTTTGAAGGCAAATATCAAATGCCAAAAATTTAATTTAATGAAGTAGAAATTTATGGAAAAATTTGTGAAGGAGAATTTGCAAATGTTTATTTAGCTCGGTGGAAATCCGATGGCTTAACACAACCCGTTGCACTTAAGTCGTTTCACGACCAATTTGAATACTATTCAGAGGTAAATGTTTTCAAATGACGCGTGTTAAATTTTTTAATTTTGCTAATCATTACTCAACTTTATAAAAGATAAATAAGTGTTATAGTATTTCATCTAAAAACCCTACATTTTTACAATGTCATGGTTTATTAAAAGATGACATCGGCGATTATTTGTTGGTCATGCAGTACGCAAGAATGGGGCATTTATATAAAAATCTTCACGAAATTGTAAAGATGAATTGGGATAAAAAATAAATTTATTATCTTGCATTGCATTCGACCTTAAAACGATTCATTCGCATAATATTATTCATTGTGATTTACGCAGTGGAAATATATTTCAAGATGATTTATATAATGCTTATATCGGAGATTTTAGTCTTGCAAGGTCATGTGAAAAGGATAATAAATATGTTTCAACTATTTATGGAGTCTTTCCTTATGTTGCTCCCGAGATTTTTATGCATCATGAGTATACATTTGCTGCTGATATTTATAGTTTTGGAGTCGTCATGTCAGAGATTTCAACTGGACAATGACCTTCTGATGGATATGAATTTGATTTTAATCTTGCAAACGGGATTTGCCACTGGGGACTGCGGCCAGGATTTGTTCATGAGACTCCCGATTGCTATATTAAATTGGCTAAGCAATGCATGAATTCTGATCCACAAGAACGACCTTCCATTGATAATGTTTTGAAAACTCTTAACGAATGGAATATATGCATGAAGGATTTAGATGAAGATGCAAATGAAATTAAGAAACAATTCTTAGATGCAGATAAATTAGCAAAAGAATTGCCAAATATTTCATATAAACATCCTGATCATATGTACAACACACAAGAAATAGATGTAAATGTAATTATAAGTAGGTATTGTTTTAAGAATTATATTATATTATTTGCTCATTTAAAGCTAATCATGTATGATAATAATTGCGACTTTAGCAAGTAAACCAATAGAATCATGCAACTTTCCTGATGGTAAATATTATATTAAACTTACAGTAGTTATGATTAAAAAAATCGATTAATTATTTTATATTGGTAGTTAGATTATTGAATTAGAACTTGATCGCAAAGAGCAGCTTTGTTGCCCAGGATAAAAATATAAAAGCAAAATATTGCTTTTACTTCGAAGATTGAGTAATATATATTCGATTATTATTTTTAGACTATACAAGTAAGCAACCCATCATTTTGTTGATAATTTAAATGTATTAGCCATAAAATTCATAATAGCTATGGTTGAATCATATGATTAGGGATGGGTAACGGCTGGCTTAGCCGATCGTCTATCTCGTGAACCAGTGACCCAAATTGGATGGTTTTAGTACCATCCGATTCGTCTTAATGAGACGAATTGGATGGTTTTAGTACCATCCGATTCGTCTTAATGAGACGAATTGGATGGTTTTAGTACCATCAGATTCGTCTTAATGAGACGAATTGAATGATACTAAAATCATCTAATTTGGATCACTGGATCATGAGATATCACGAGATAGCCGGTCGGCTAAGCCGACAATAGCCAGCCGTTGACATCCCTACATATGATGGTCTCTACAAATGCCGCTCTTGATAAAGTCTAGTGTTCTAAATTTTTTATCATCATTGTGTCGAGTATTAAATTGAATAACGTCAAATTAAAGGTCGGATCCTTTGAATATTAGTCATAGTTAATCATTGAATCTTCATGAATCATAATCATTCAGAAATTTTATTAAACGAGAATTTTGATTAAATGTAATTTTAATTACAATATGCAAAATTTACATTGTATCTGATTATGATTTTTATTCGCTAATTGTTGCAAAATGTTGTAGATATAATTTAAAATTTTTTGCCTTAATGCATAAAACGCCCCATATCTCTTGAGTATACCAAATTTTCTACAAGAATGTAATTTAGCAATTTATTTTTTAATTATGATTTGTAACAAGTTTTTTCAAAATAAAAATGGATAGGTATTTTTAACATTATGGATTAGCAAAGATCGAATATCTTAATAATTTATACTAGAAATGTTTTTGAATATACCAGGAACGGAGTGATATGTAATATTACGAAGTATATGGTTACTAAGACATTTTTAATGGCGTACGTCCGCAAAATCTCAGAACTAATTGGATAATGCATTAAACGCAGTAAAAACGTGAATTTATGCACTTAAACATCACGATATGCGTCGCATATACTTTATTTAGATATTCTATGAGATTCATTTAACCATTTAAATGTACTAACTTGTATCTTTATTTCTTGACGGGTTTTTATCTCGATTTAAGTGCGTGTAAAAAAATAGTTTTTTTAATGATTGTTTTTCCTTATTGACTTTCGGAATTGAACCAACCGAATAAATAATTTGTCGGTTTGTAGAAAGTGTAAAATCATTAAACTACACCAGTAAAATGAGATTCAATAGGGTACCTCCCTATTGCTATTAATTTTTGGCTCCAAAAGAGGTCAATCAGGTATCAATTAGAGCAATAGTACTCAATAAGGTAACAATAGGATACCAATAGGGTACCAATAAGACACCAATAGGGTCAATAAGATTTTTACTAATTGTAAACTATTTAATTAATAGTTACCAATCAAGACCAATATGGTATCAATAGGATACCAATAAGGTCAATAAGTTTTACTTCTCTCTCTTGATTATAATATTACCAATTGAGATCAATAAAGTATTAATATTATATATCAATTTATGATTCATATTGATTTTAAATTAGGAAAAGTAAAAATAATTACAAATACGGGTCCAAATTAAAAATAAAAATATTATATATACAGGCTAAAATAACTGTAATGTTATACTTCAAACAATCATAAAAAATGCTATAAACCACTGTAATATATGTATTATACGATGTGCAAACAAATGGGAACTCTCTATAAGACCAATTTTATCTAAAAAATGCTATAGCATACATTTAATTAACTTTTTTTTTTAGCTATTTTCACTCAAAGTGAGGCGATAAAAATAATAAAATCATTCCTGTAACCCATGACATCGTGATTCAAAGTTCACAATTTAATAATTTAAACCAGCTGTGAGAGACAAAT